GCCGCTGTAATAAAGAGTGGTTAGGGTCATTGTCAGCCTAGCTTAACAGGCGCAATGTTTCGACCACCTGCATGGCGATTAAGATTGCGATGATAGTGGGAAGGAATCAACTCTATCACTGTGTTATAGGTTTTTCAAGAGCTGAAACTGGGGTGCAACCCCTCTGTTTAAGGTTGGTTTTTCTCTCTTAACATAAATGGCTTCCTTCACACCCCTTTCAAACCACCTGTCTTTGTCCAAAATGTGAACATTCTGGTCCTCAAACGAGTGTCTTTTGTTCTTAAGGTTTAGATGGACAGCTGAGTCTTGTCCGTAGGAGGTAGCCTGCCTGTGTTGAGCCATGCGTCTGTAGAGAGGATGTTTGGTTTCTCCAATATAAAGATCAGGGTATTCCTTACTGCACTGAACTGCATAAACCACTCCGGTCATCTTAGATTTGGGGGTTTGTCCTTAGGATTGTGTGGTTGATACAAATATGTGGTTGATACAAATACACTCACCAAACTTCATAATTAGGATCCCTCCAGATCACAATTATGCACTACTTTGCTTTATCTTTAATACCAGTAAACATACATGAAGTTAGTTTTTAAGGGAACTGAAGTCAGCATAACTTCTTCATGTCGTTACGCTTAAAAGCAGAGATACCTAAACTTTTCAGTTTCTCACCCACAAAATGGTGCCTGAGTCAAATCAAGACTCAAACTATTGGATGTATACAAACAATAAATTATGCCTATATATCTTAAAGCTCTCTAACATAAATATTTCTTGTGTAGTTCAATTTGTGGTAGAGTAAGGATCCCCAAGTAGGTTCATGACTCCAACCTTGGGAATCAGTACTTTAAAGCATCCCTGTTAAGGAGTTACGTCGTCCAAAATTCATCCTTAAACCCAACAGTTACTGTATGTATCTGATCAGTAGTTATATATTTGCTGATTGGCTCTTAATTCACATTTACACCATCTACAAAGGATCCTGTTCATTTAATGTATGCATGCATGTAAGCTCACATAACATGTTTATTAGGGATGTTATTCACCAGATTTATCCTGATATAATGTTCTGTGTAGATTAGTTTGGATGAGGATATGATGATTTAATCCAAAACCTGGATAAATTGGTGCATTTAGCCTCAACATCAAAACACTCCCGTGCTAATGTAGGAATGCTGTTGCTGCCTTCATGGCCTTCTTTGGTTTCCTTTTAAACTCACGTCCAGGAGTCAGCTTTGAACCAGGCACATCCATAATTACGGTCCACCATCTGGAGGTTGAAATTATTTAACAGACGATGTTTCTCCCAACAAGGAGGACTGCTGCTGCCTAGCAGCTGGAAATATAACAGGTTACTTTAGATTTTAAAGAAATCTGACCTTTTTTTTATTTCTCTCAAGAAATTCCAGTCCTAGCTCTTTGATTTGAATGATCATACTATCTATAAAGTTTGGTTTTATTTTTACTGTAGTATGTTATTTCACTGGTGCAATGACTCATTTGAATAAATGGCAATTATCTGAAGCTTTGTAGAAATAGGACAGGTTGTATTTCTATTGCTCTGGCAGGCATTTCTCTTTCTGCATGATTATCTGTCTCTAGCCTGAATACCCCGGCTGCACTTCACACACTGTGGATATGAATAGTGTGACCTCAGCTCTTGGGAAATAATAAGAAGCTGCAATGGTAGCACATTTCTTTTCTACACCATCTTCCGATTTCTTGCTGAAATCTATTCTATCAGCTGTTTCGTCTTGATAATTCTACCGCTCTTGAACGCATGTTCCTCCAAGTTCCTTGTACTTCACTCAAAGGAGATTTTGAATTACAGTGACTCAGAGGTCTTCGACCCCAATTCTGGGCTTTTTAAATGACTGCCTTAGTCGATTTCTGCCAGATGGGGTCTCTCATGGCAGATCTCATCACAGTCAGAATGGAAGTTTACTCCTAATATGTCAGCCTGCTTTGCCTGGCGCTTGTCAAAACCATACTTAACAAATTGCAGTTTGCTGATTTATTGTTTAAAATGAAAAATTGTAAATAATGACATTATTTATTAGAATTTATATGGGCAAATATGGTTCAGTACTCAGAGCACTAGTTAGTTTGGGAACAGCATAAATACTTAAAGAAAAATTAAGACTTTTAAAATAAAATAAAAAAATCTAATGATGCCTTTAAAGATGCATCGTAGCTAGCCTGGATTATTTTTTCCTTTCTCTCTTTAGTTCATTTCCTCCTTCCTTCAAATATTGGACCCATGTGTTGAATAAATGTGTTTTTTCCCAGTTTTTTTAAATTATATTTAAGTATATGCATGACTGATGGATAAGAAGCATCATAAAATGCTCTTTTCTTGAGCAGTAAACATTGTGGTAGCATTGACAGGCTATTCTTCCCCTTAACCACTGCCTTGCATTTTACAAAAACCTTATAGTTGTTGGGTACCTGTCCATTTCTGTTTCTTTAAATGTGTAAGACAATGGGTCAACAAAGGAAAATAAAAAAATACTTTTTTTAGCCAAAACCCAGCCGCTGTCTGCTGGCCTCCTAATAAAGTTATATAACAATAAACTGTTCCCCCTGCTGCCCTCTAGGAAAAGAGTTTGCAGAATCCGCTGCATTACCAACAGGTTCTGCAACAGCTTTTTCCCTAATGCCATCAGACTGTTGAACTCTAAAATGGATGCTGCATCATGCTTGCAACATATTTTTGCACCACCAACAAGGCTGAAACTTCTATAATCCTTTTAAATAGGACACAACTATATGTTCTACTGCATTTTGCACCATATTTATTTTGCACTGCACTGAACCTTTCCATATTAACGGCCTTTTGCACCATTATTTTTTAAACTGGTTTCATTTTCTTCTACACTGTTTACATGCTGAATACTGCTGCCCTTTAAAATGATAAGGTTCATTTCATCGTTGCAAGCTGTTTTGTATAGACTCTGTGTATAGAAAATGACAATAAAGTTTGTCTAAGTCTATGTCATGTTTGGATTTTCTTGAACCGAAAACGGAATCCTTCCCTCAGCTACATTATTTTCTTGAGTGTCTCACTTTCTTGATTTGTATAAAATTTTTACCTAATAGGAAATTTGAAACAGAGCTGAAACAAGCGCCTGCTTACATCTTGTTTTTTAAATGGGAAAGTAATTCTTTTTTCATTGTGCATCAAGCCCAGATAGCTCTTTATAGGAATGACATTCTGGAGAATGCATCACATTTCAATGCAGTTACCAACATTTGGGGCTGCAAGAGTAACGCGTCTTGTCTACTTCTTTTGGTCACAGAAAGGACAATTAAAACACAAAGGCTCTGAAACAACGGCTCACAGATAAAAATATCCATGCTAGATCATTTTCTCATGTGTGCATGACAACTAGAAGCTCCCACTCAGCGGGGGCGACGATCTTTTTGGCAGTCACGAATATTAAACTTATTGTGTCTGAAACTTGTGCCTATTTGCTTCTGCTTCCAAGGCTTTCTGAAAGAGGTCCTTAAATACCAAAGTCTCAGGACTGTGACCTCTATTGGACTGGTGGTGTGCCGTAGCTCTCAGTATACTAAGGGATCAACGTGCTACTACTTGGTGAGGAAGGAGGAGATTTGACTGTTTAAAGATGCAGGTTTAAAAGGTAAAAAGGAGAACCTAACTTAATGCTCCTGGTCTGCTCAATCGCAGTCTGGGTGAACGAACACGGAGCAGGACTGAAAAGGACGGTTGTTGTCCCCCTTTTATAGAGGGATTAAACTTGTACATCTGAGAGAAAAACAACTGCTGAGTTGAACTTTTAAGCTATTGATGGAGCAAATGTTTTTCTGTGGTTTCTCAGCAGCTCATATGTATGAAAAGGCATGTGCGAGATCATTTACGTGGGGAAATAGAAATGTTTTTCAGGGGAAGCCTCCATGCAACAGCTCGGTTTTCTCAACATTTGGATGTTTTCTATGGTATTAAAGACATATTTAAGAAATAAACCTCTTTAATTGTTAATCTTTCCAAACTGATTGCTCATACATTCATCAATCTTGAGTAAAATCTCACCATCTATTAAAAGTAAAGTCTAGTAAACCCAGAGCATCATGTTGCCCCCAACATGGGAGGGATTTACTGTTCTATAAGTGATGCACAGTTGATTTCATTAGAGCAGAACACTTCCTGTCACAAAGTGTTGGGAGTTTTCACCCTCAGCCTCAAAGTTTACTATGTCTAGCAGCCCTAACTATAAAGCACAAGAGATTTTTCTCCCTTTTGTCTTTTCAGCCATTAAAAAAAAATAAAATTCTAATTTCTTCTCTGTTTTCCCATTATGGTGAGGGGTGTGGGTGTATTCTGGAAACAAGAGGAGGAATAACAGGAATAGTGGTGCATATGTCCTACAAAACAAGCATGTTTATTCACAGAACCTGCTTACACATACAAGATTAAACTGGTCCATCAACACTTCCTCCATGACCCACAGCTTTCCCTCACAAACACACCCTCTAATAACTAAGAGATTGTGTCAATATGTAAATGTTATACTTCAACATTTAATGCCATTTCTCTTTTGAGGCTATGAAATTATTGCTCAGCATAAATAAGATAAAAAGGTACTTGTTAAGGCATTTATATTATACAGGCAGGCAGCAACTGACGGCACTAGAAGGCACACATGGAGGTTGCCATCCTGCTGAGAAAAGGTTGGAATCCACCGCCAGTCCTCATGCTGTATATCTATGGGGCCCTTTCTGGTGTAATTATACAAGCTTCATGATCCCGTCGACTGCTTCATGGTGTTCTTACTGCGCTTTTTTGGAGATACTGTAGCATAGTTTTAGGAAGTATCGGTTGCATGCCCGTCCATGCCATCTCTGCCCTTTACTATTATGGGCCAGTCAAACAGCAGGAGGAAGGGCACAGGTCTCGTAAACATGGAATCAAGCACTATGTCTGGGTGTGATTGAGATCTCTTGACCCTTAGCTGTGTTGGTTTTGTTTGTGTTGTCTCCAGAGGCATTCAAGGGAAGAAATGCGGGACCATTATTGTGAAAGCGGAGGAACTAAACAACTGCAGGGTGAGTAAATGGTTTTGTTTCTTGGAGCTCTGCTTCTAGTTTTTAAAGTCTCCTTCCAGGTATGTCTTAGTTTGAATTAATCAAGAATGTCCTAAAGGAAAATAGGGACAGCTGCTCGACCCACCAAGGCATTTATTTCCTTAAGACACAGAAAACGGCAGCAGGAAAACACACTGTTCAAATCAATAAATAATAAGGGAATAAATAAGTAAAAAGATGTGTTTATCCTCCTTCTGGATTTCCATGGTGCTATTTATGTCAATCTGTCATCATTGCTGTTCCACTTTCTTAGCCTCAGCACGCCCTTAAAGGAATAGTACACCCAAAACATGATTAGCCTTCATTTTCTACTCACCCCCATGCTGAACAAAACTCTGGAGTACTTTTTTGATATCTCAAATGCATCTGGAGATCTGGGAGGCTTCTTGCTGTCTGCTGACATTCAAATAATGGAGGTCCATGG